CTGCTGCTGCTGCTGCTGCTGTGTGTGCGCACACAGGGGGCAGCCTGTACTGGCTGCTGCACGAGCAGCGAGCTCCGCTGCTGCTGCGGCAGCGGCTGGCGATAGCTCTGCACTTCGTGGCGGCGCTGCAGTACCTGCACTGCAGGCCAACGCCCATTGTGCACAGAGACATCAAGTCCCTCAACATTGTGGTCAGGAGTCTAGCTGCAGCAGCAGCAGCAACAGCAGCAGCAGCAGCAGCAGCAGCAGTAGTAGCAGTAGCAGCAGCAGTAGCAGCAGCAGTAGCAGCAGTAGCAGCAGTAGTAGCAGCAGTAGCAGCAGCAGTAGCAGCAGCAGTAGCAGCAGCAGTAGCAGCAGCAGCATCATTCCTTCAGGTGGAGGTACCCTCTAACAGCAGCGGGGCCAGGGGGCCGCAGCAGCAAAGCTTTTTTGTTTTTTTTTTTATTTAAATTATATAAAAATAAAATTTATGAAAAAAATAAAATTTATGAATTTTGTTGTACTTGTGTTCTGCGCTGCGTTGCATGCAGCTGGATGGGGCTGGCAACGCGAAGCTGTGCGACTTCGGGCTGGCAGCAGAGGCGGATGTGCCCAGTGCTGCAGCTAGCAGCAGCAGCAGCAGCAGCAACAGCAGCAGCAGCAGCAGCCGCAGCCTCACCGCCTCTATGCGCCTCATCCTCCCTAAGGAGCCGCTGCAGCCCGCGGGCTCCCCGCGCTACATGCCGCCGGAGTTGGCGGCTGGAGGTTCGTCCTGCATCAGCACCCTTGTACTAGCTAGCCAGCTAGGTAGCTAGCTAGCTAGCTAACATAACAGCTACTTCTCTGGCTGGCTAGCTAGCTAGCTGGTCGAACGTCTAGCTGGCTAGCTAGCTAGCCGGCTACCTCCCGTGTTATTGAGGGGGCAAGAGGAAGTTAGATAGTTGACTATATGATATCTCTGTTTGACGATCTCTCTCCAGCTAGCTAGCTAGCTAGCTAGCTAGCTACCTAGCTAGCTTGCTAGCTAGCAAGCTTGCTAGCTAGCTAGCTAGCTGTGTGTTGTTCAGTTTGTACTGTTGGGGGTTTGGTGGTGGTTGTGTGTGCACAGTGGCGACGCACCTGGACCCTTCTCTGGATATCTGGTCCGCTGCATGCGTTTTGTTGGAGTTGTTTGGGGGCCCGCTGCCGTACCACCGCTGCCAGACCTTTGAGGAAATACAAAAACAACATGCAGAGAGAGTGGTGAGCTGGCCCCTTCTCCCTATCCCCAGCAGCAGCAACAGCAGCTGCTGCAGCAGCTGCTGTTGCTGCTGCAGCAGCTGCTGCTGCAGCTGTGTTTGGACTTAGAAGCAGCTGTTTTCGTCTAGTGTCTGTACAGCAGAAAAAGCTCTAGTGACTCAGAGCACTCATTGTGTTTTTTATTTAATTTATATCGTCTACATTCTGCTTTTTATTTCATTTAAATAGTCTTAATCTTTTTTTTTTATTTCGCTTTTTTATTATAAATGTTTTTTTTTATTTATTATAAGAAGAAGACAGCAGCTCTCCTCTGTATGATTGAGAAAGCAGCAACCAGCAACACTACAGTATTTTTGTGTTTTTTTTTTTTTTTATTTTTTTTTCATTTGTTTTGTTTCTTTGTACTAAAAGGATTATTTCGAGTGAATGACATGAAAGTATTACACTTTCTATGTACTAGGGTTTAGGGTTTAGGGTTTAGGGTTTAGGGTTTGTGTTCTCTGCAGCTGCCTACATTTCCCCCGAATCTCCCCGCCCCCTTAGAGCAGTTGCTGCGTTGTTGTTTGTCGT